CATATAGGAATAGAGGTGCCATATTATTTAGATTATTTCTATTTCTTTTGTATCACATTTGATACATGGGGCATTTTTGGGGATTTTTTTTTTTTTTTTGCTCAGAAACCTCATATATCAAATATGATACAAATGGCTTTATAGGGTTAAAGGGATTTTGTTTGTGTAATTGAATTAAATGAGGCTATATTTTACTGCATCCATTAAATTTGCTCAGAGCAGCACTGCCTCCCATAACTGTCACTCAGCAAGACAGACTCTCACCTACAGAAGCAGCTTTAGTTACATGGTGGCACAGTTCATCGCTTTTCTGCTAATAGTCACTGGAAGATTTATTTGTGGTTAGACTGGGGTGTGTCAAGGCTTTCTTGATCAATGTCTGCTATCTCATAAAGTCTATGATGTGTGGAGATCTTTGTATGTTTATTTAATAGACTGTGGTAGCACTTCGAGACAGATTCCTCATCTATCCTGGTTCATCTCCTTCTCAAGCCTATGGTCTATTTTTAGTGCCTTTATGCTTTAATGTGGTAATGCCTTAATGTATTGATTCCACACAAGAAAGAAGTTAGACTCAGCATTCATTTAAATAAAGGTTTTCCACTCGGAGCATAACGTGGAGCCATCTTGCATGAGGTGAATCGCAATGTCCTGTAGCTGATGTTGGCTGTATTTAGGATTTTAGCCATGTTAGGTTCTAAGGCTGGCAGCGATGCTCAGTTGGTCGGTCCAGATCGCACTATCTCGGCAACTGTTGGATGGGTTGCCTTGAAGTTTGGTACACGCAATCATGCTGCCACCAAGGACAAATCCTGATGACCTTGTAGTTTTCCTAGCATCACTGGCAAGATAAATTTTTTTCTTCTCCTATGAAACACTTAAACATCTACTAGATGAATTGGCAAAAAATGTGGTACAGGTATGTATGGTTTCTAGAGGTTGAATTCTGATCTCTCTGGTTATTTTTGAGTCAAAAGCCTTAACAATTATTTGCTGGATTGTTTTGAAATTTGGTATGATTATTCATAGACCTCTTAGGATGAATTGTTCTAACATTTGTTAGCCTCAACTTTTCATCTAGTGCTGATATCAGGTCATCATTTCAATTTGTTCAAGACTTTAGTTTCACTAAATAATAAACTAGTGATTGTCCTGTCAGCCTCAGTTGTGCTCCCTGTTTAGTGCTAACATGTTGATATTAGCATGCAGCTCAAAGCCCCGCTGAGCCCAAGGACAGCCTCACGGAGGTGCTAGTAGGGTGGCTGAGCAGTAAACGGAGATTGGAGTCATCACCAGGCATAAAGTTTCACAGCACACATTTTTACATTTATAAAACACGATTCATTGCAGTGTGGAACTGTTAGTGGGAAGTAGTGTGCATGCAGTGGACACAACTTCTTGTTCAGTTGTTGGAACATTTGAGGGAATTAATCAAGCATAGGATTTTTGCTCAAATAAAATGCTGCAGGGTAAATATTGTTCAGTCTGTAGTAAAGAATTGTGCTTTAATTTAGTTGAACATCTTTTCCTAGTAGTATATGGCTAACATAGCTGGCCCACCACTTTTTAACTGATGTGTGACTATACGGTATCTCATTAAGGCAGTGAGGAGGGGATGTGGGTTTTAAACCCTTCACATAAAAGACTCACTGCAGCAGTACGCCTCTACGGATGCACAGCATGTTAATCAATAAGGCTCTGATGTTTCTCAGAGATGTTCTAAAGGGAGATCTCTTTAATTTTTTTGGGAGGTCATTCGTTTCTTCTCGTCTTTCCTCTCAAGGCTGCCTGCTGTCCCCCGTGATAACTGTTCAGTGAATGGCTGCAAAAAGCTGCATTTTTTTCCCCACGATTGTTTTCTTCTCCTACCTTTTTCTTGCTACACACGTCCTGTTTTTGTCTCCTTGCCCCTTTGTTCTCCAGCTCATTTGTTCTGTCCTCTCCGCACTTTGTCTTTCAACCTTGCCCTTGTCCTTAAACTCCTCTGTATTTCTTGTTCCTCTAATTCTGTCCTCCCCCTGTTCTTTCTCCTGGCACCACTCCTCCTTTGTTTTCCTGCTGTGTCCTGTTTCTTTCTTTCTGTGTTTTAATGCATTTCTCTTGATTTTTTTATTACATTTTTTGTTTGTTTGGGAAATTTGATGTAATTCTTGGACCTTCTCTGTCTTAGTCCCAATGTGTCTGGAACTTTCTGCAGTGTTTGTCTCAAGGACGTCTTTTAATATTGTCTTCCTTTTTGTCATGGTCTGCCACTCTTGTTCTGCCTTGCCTTCTTTCAGGAGGAGTTGCGGGAGCTGAGGGAGCAGCCCATTGACCCCTTGGCGGAGCAGGAGATCATCAACAGCATCGAGGAGGTCTACTTCTCTAACGACTCCTTCGACATGGTGCAGCATGAGCTGGAGGTCAGATATTCACTCATATGAATGAGCAAGCCCTTGTCTTACTGACTGAATGAGAACCCCACTCTCTTGTAAAATAAAGACTCCTTCCCAGGTTCCCACACTCTCTCATCAAACCTACCACATTTCAGTAATTCTCATTACATCAACATTGCATTTCTGATGTGAAAAATGATGGCTTCCTGTGCATTGGAATCCATCTGACTGTCAGATTTAAAGCTCTTTCTCACCTGAGCTGCTGTCTCACACTTCTGCTAAGATGCATGCATATCATTGATGCCCAGATTGATGGATTGCATCCGTTCAACAGAAGAAGTGTGTGAAATCTCATTAGATTTATCTTGGTATTGCTACACCTTCTGAAATGAAACTCTCAGTCAAGAGGAAAGTAATTACCTATCATCCTTTAGGCCATGGATTGGTAATCTCTCCTTTCCCTAGCAGAGCTGTTTGCTGTTTACTAAATAATGTCTTCTACCTTCTTGACTTATCTGACTTATGATCGGTCAAGGTGAATTTTTTTTTCTTGTTTGTTTGTTTTTCTTTAATAGAGGAAGAGCTACAGTCACCAGCTGAATCCAGCTTATTGTCTTTTAAATGTCTAGTGAGATATCTTTGAAAAATTAAGATTCACAAGAGTGGAAAATTAGCTCTCTTAAGATAAAGGAAATCCCTGTTATGACTGAGCGCCAGCACTTGGATACTGCTGTAGCTGTACTTTGACTATTTGACACACATGTAGCAAGGCCTTTTATTATGCTGAATGGTAAACATGCTATAAGCAGCATGCAGCTGTAAGGAAGTAACTGACTTTTTGGGGATGTGCCTGCAAAAGTCATAGTACATTTGCCAGTGTAGGAGGATGTACTGTAAAGGAATAATAAGGTTTGTATCTGTGTGTGTGATTATAGAAGCTCCCACCTGTGCTGAACCTGCAGGAGCTGGAGGAGTACAGAGACAAGCTAAAGAGACAACAGGCAGCAGTACGTATCTCCCTGTCTCTCTCTCTCTCTCTCTCTCTCTCGCTCTCATACATACAGACACACGTGCATACACACACATTGTGGTATTGGACCCCACTAGTGTATTATGCTAATTTCTGTCACATGCAAGCATCAAGAAGCTAAGAGAAGTTTTTATTTGATATAAAAGTTGGTGTAATTTTTTTGTTTTTGATGATAATATGAGCTTGACTCCAGATTTGTACAGAATAGTTTGTGAGAATTGCTGTACAGGAATTGTTGTAGGTTTTCTTAAGGTGATCAGTGATTTAATGTGATTTGAATTTTTAAATCTGCGAATGATCACTGCTCGAGTTCACTTTTACAGCCAGCCAGAGTACCTGTTTTCTTACAACTTGCTCATTTGAAGAAATTGATTTTAGTGAGAGCAGTGTGGTTTCAAGGCTGGCTTAAAAACTAGGGGTTCAAAGTATGTTGACAAAACAGTTTCACCCTGAGGATCATTTCATAGCTTTTCTAGAAAATTAAAGTAGTGAATTTCTACTTAAACCCTAACATGTTGACATACACTGCACACATTCATTTTGACTCACTGATATGTCTGAAAAATAAATTTCATTTATCTAAAAGCTTTGGATATCTGCATTTTCTCTGTTATTTTTTAGTAGTTTAGCACAGAAATTTACAATTAGTCAGGCAACTCTGATATCTTGTATGCCTGTTGATAACGTCTGATCTCAATCAATAGCATCACCATGTTGAGTGTGTGAGGCTAGACCTGATCATTAATAGCATGATTTATTTATTTTATTTTTGTGATGATTGGCAGTTTGGTGACTGATTATGACTGCCATCAATGGCCAGATTTTGTTCTTCGTGTCTGAACGCGGTTACCCCCTCTACCTCCAAGCTGATCTTCAAGCTCAGCCAGCTTGGTTTATAGCTAGACTCTGGACTTTCTAATTAACAGACCACAGATTCTCAGGCACCTCCTTCACTCTCACCCTTAATCCTGGGGTGCCTTAAGGATGTGTACTGTCCCCTCTACTGTATTCCCTCTTCATCCACGACTGCATAACTGTACATGGCTTGAACACCATATTCAAGCTTGCAGATGACACTGTGTTGGTAGGCCTGATCTGAGGTAACAGTGAGATAACCCAAAGGGAGGAAGTAGAGCTGTGTGTTGTGTGGACTGTAGCCTGGAACTCAGTGCAAAGAAGAAGAAGCTTAATTTATTGTCATTGTAACATTGTGACATGTACAACGAAATTATGTTTGGGCTCCTGCGTGCATACGTGCCACCATCACGGGCAACGGGGGGTTCAGTGTCTTGCCCAAGGACACTTCAACATGTGGACTGCAGGCACCGAGATTTGGGGGGGTAGAGCCCCGAGGTGACAGTGGCGTGAAAGAAAATCAAGAAGATTGCTGTGGATTTCAGGTGGGCTGGGAATCATACTCCCATTCCAAGGAACAGAACTGTTACTTACCGTGTACCCAACTTTAAGTTCTTTGGACTCAGTGCCTCATACATGGATCCTGGAATGCTTGGAACTGTACAACATCAACAGGACTCTAAGAGCCTTCATCAAGAACTCAATGGGAATGTGGAAAACAACCCTAGAGGCCAAGTTCAAGCCTTCAAGCCAATTGCACAAGTCAACATCAAGTGCGGTATCTACCAAGGAGATGCTCTGTCCCCGCTGCTGTTCTGCATAGGCCTGAACCCCCTCAGCCAGATCATC